GGCAATTTATTTATTTATTTATTTATTTATTTATTTATTTATTTATTTATTCTTATTTTACATATCAATCCCAGGTCCCTCCAAGTCCCTTCTTCCCTCCCTCTCTCCTACCCTCCCATGCCCCAGGACCACCCTCCTATCCCATTCCCCCACCCACTCCACATGTAGGCTGATGCCTTCCTTCAGGAGTAATCTAATTCTGTCAAGACATTTGGTGTAGGGACTAGGCCCTCCCTCCTGCTTCTATGGGCATTTTTTTTTTAAATCTTTGAGCATATAGTGACTTTATTGTTGGTGTTCAGGGAAATGAAATGATATAAAATTATATCCTATATCACAAAACAACATACCTTCCTATTCATTTAAAATTTTCTTTTTTTATCTGTAAAGTTTAGTATTTGTATTTTCTTGCTAAATCATTACAATGGTCTTTTTACTCTTTGTTTATTATTTCAAATACTCTTTATACAGGGGTGCCATTAATCCCATTTCACCAATTATTCTGCTCACAGTTTCAGTTTTAAAATCATGGATCAGATCATGGATCAGAAGTCTTTTTTTTTTTTTTTTTTTTTGTTATTGTTGCTATAATTCTGTTGGCTAGTTACTAGTTTCTTATCGGTTAGTTCTGTCTTAACTATTAACCCATTTCCATTACTCCAAGTGTTTCCACGTGGTCTTATCTTACTGGAGAGAGGGGCTAGAGTTCTTTAAAGAAGCAAATGAAAAGTACGAAAACAAATTTTCTCTTAGTGGTGTCTATTGTAAAATTCATCCTTCACACATTCTTAAATACTATGGGGTACATCACTACGTTCTACCTTGCCTAGAAAAAAGCAAGTCCTTTGATTGTTGTAGAACTGATTGCCATAATGTACTCTTGTTTCAGACTCAGCACACACTTTGAGAAAAGTTCTAGTCTTTCCTTTACTAACAGCAAGCAACAAAAATTTAGGTAAATAGCTTCATCTTAGGGGAGTTACATTCATAAAATCAAAGCCAATGCTAGATGTTGCAACCACTGGGAAGAAAACTATTTTTAAAAATTATTGCCTAAAATCATCACCTTTAGTGAGTGTGTGCTTGCATACATGTATGTGTGCATAACTGTGTAGTTTTGTCAGTAGGGAAGAACAGGGATGAGGTATTGAATATAAGAAATGCTCTGCTAAACTCTCTTATGTCTTTTAGGACCCACTCAGTGGTGGGCCTGGTCCAGGTCTATGGAGTGAGGCTAGGAGAGAGCAAACTAATTGCTCTGACTGAATCAGTACCTAACAGAATCTATCATGACTGCTACAACAGAGTGTTGTGTCTTTCCAACTATAGAATGAGTGACTATATGTGTTCCCAGATCTAAAATATGGTGGTGATATTGAAAATAAACATAGAATGTATTTATTGAATGTGAAACATTTATTTTCTCTTAAATCACTATCAGCATAATTTTCATTATGCATTTAAATTCCTTTTGGTCTTAATTTTATATTCATAATTTAATCAACACCTTATACCGGTGAAAATATCATAGGAGAATCCTAGAGTAATAGACCAATGTTTTAAAGGCTCTGCTGACAACTTGCTTAGGAAATAATATGTCAGAAAAAGTAGAGTTTAGCTAAAGGATTAATGTCTTTAACATTATCATAGGTAGTCCAGTAAGTAGCTGTGTCAGAAACTGTAGGGAAAGATGTACCTCTAGTACAATTAAAGTCTAGGTTTTCTGGGAAAATGTTTCTGTTAAGGTTTGTTGACAATCCTCTTGACAAAGAAGACACCCCTGGCCACAGCTGGCTGTTAAAGGTCACGCCTCATCCAGGTGTTCTTTCAAGGGACATCAGGCAGTTCAGAGAGTCTGCACAGGTCACAGGGCCACTAAGTCCTGGTTCATCACTAAGCCTGGGTTTCTTTATAGGAAAGTTCCACCATTGAGGCAATTTGGTTTTCAGTAACAGTGTTGGTGTATATTTTTAAAAAACCAACGTTCATCCTAACCAAGCCCTGTGAGTGTGAGTGCCAGTAGGAGGCCTGGTCAATCTATAGGGCCTCTGATTGTGGATTGGTATGTATTCCTAGTGCACTAGTGGACGTTGGGGAGCACATTCCCTCTGATGGAATACTCTCTCAGCACAGAGGCATGGGGGAGCACCTAGGCCTTCCCTGAAATGATGTGACAGACTTGGATGATCCCCATGGAAGGCCTGACCCTCCATGGGGAGTGGATGAGGTGTGGGATGGTGGGGGGTCAGTGGGGGGCTTGGGAAGATGCTAGGGAGTGCGAACTGGGAGTGATATGTAAAGTAAGATTGTTTCAAAAAATAAAAATAAAAGTCTCCTTTGCCATGCTTTTCTAACTTGGGCTCTCTTTAGAGATAATAATGATGGCATCACCACTTTATCAACCTACCATATGTCCCAGATGACCAAATCTGACAGTTTCTGACTCTTTAAAACACCTTTAGTTGCTCAAAGTGAATCTTGGGACTGAGACATAACAGAGCATAGCAGACAACATGCTACGGCTCAAGATCTATATGTCTCACATAATTTCTATGAGAGAACAGTTTCTCTTTGAACTATTCAGACTGGGTCCATACTATTATAGAGAATTTCTTGAGTGTGTGAAGTGATTTCTCACTGGAGTTGGAGAGGCTTATTTCTCTTCTACAAAAACACGCTCGATTCCTTGAGCAATTGCTGCCCTTCTGGTCCTCCAGTATGCATGGGCTTATTCATAGGCCACAGTTCATCTTACCTTGGCGACTTTGACAGCAGAGCCATAGCCGGTTGAGAACCCACAGCCGATGAGGCAGACTTTCTCGAGTGGTGCAGCTCCGTCGATTTTAGCCACTGCTATCTCATCTACCACAGTGTACTGCGAGAACGTGCTGGTGCCCAGGAAGTTATGGATTGGCTTTCCTCTGCAGGTAAACCTGGTGGTGCCGTCCAGCATGGTCCCTGAGCGTCTACCATATTGGATGTTAAAACACAGGCACAACAAGTCATGAGACAGAATAAAAGCAGTGTGTTGCGTAAGTGTGCAAGAAGACATTAGAAACATACCTTTTTTTTCTAGACAAGTTGTTTTCTGGTTGCTTAGAACTCTTGCATTTCCCACACTGGGGAGAGACGAGAGGGATGACTTTATCACCTGCAGGGAAACAACAAATCGACTTCAGTGTCTGTCCAGGAACTAATGAAGCAAGCACATGAGATCCACACGTAGAGACACGTGTCTTTGAAAAGTCACCTAGTGATAGGACATGACCGCACTATAATTCATGGGTCGTTACCTCCCAGCCTTGCTATTCATCCAGGTTTATATGTGCCTGAAGATCTCCAAAGAGAAAGAGGAGATGTCCATCAATAGCAGTTAACCTTGTTGTGTGCCTTTGTTTGTTCTTGGGGACCTTATACATATTAATTTAATCAAACATGCATATTCTCACTGCTAAGCATAAATATATACCTTAGTGGCAATAAGTTTCCAACTTACTATGTTAGCATAGGATGTTGGAGAGAGTGACATTTTGTCTAATAGTTACAATAAAAATAAAATAAAACAAACACAACATAGAACATATATTATATTCATGATAAATTAAAGTTGATCATAGCATAAAGTTAAAATGAGAACATCAATAGCGAATTTTTACTTTTAAAAAGATTTCTATGGTTTTTATGTTTCATGTATTTATGACACTTGTGTGGGGGTGCCCTAAGAGGCCAGCAGGTGGGTTGGGTCCCCTAGATTTGGAGTACAGATCATTGTGAAATGTCAAACTGGGAGTTCTAGTAGAAAATGATGTGTCTTTAATCAAATACTCATTTCTCCATCACCTAGGGTTTGGCATTTCAAAGTGACTGTATTCCTCTTAGTGTTAATGAATACTTAAAATAATAATCCCAGCTGTCTTTGGAGGAAGTAAATTAAAGTGTGACAAGAAGGGACAACTTACTTTGGAAATAAAAGTTGACCTCTGCTCTTTTAGATAATTTTTATTGAATTTTCACTTTGGGGGGGGCTATAGAGAAAGCATTTTGTTAAGTAAATCAGTTTTTGTCAACCAAATGCAATTCCAAAAGCTTGACTCTGGCCAGACTAGTCCTTTTCTTACCTCCTGATTATTTGGAATGAAAGAGATGTCTGACTCTACTGGCTGAAGTGATCTCCTTGGAGATGAACATAAAGTCCGTTTTTCTATCATGTGTGCCAGTTGTTATTGAACCACATAAATAGCTTGATTGTTATGATTCGCAGATGAAATGAATGTGATGTGACTCATGGAAGTTTTATTGTTACTCACCCTTTACCTCTGAAAAGTGAAACTTAAATTAAAACCATGGAAATCCTGCTAAGTAATGTGCAATCTAGTACTATCAGCTGCAATCAGTGATAATAAAATATTTGAGTACGGAGGCCTTGGCCATGCTTTTCCCCCTGGAGTTTCCCCTTACATTTTATTTTCCTTTATTCAAGAAGGAAGCACATGTGGGAGAAGAGGAAGCCATCGTGTTGACGCAATGTAGTTAAAACTACTATTTCCTGCAAGTGGGGTAACCTGCCAAGGGGAATCTTGCAACGGAGGCAAGCAGTAGGGTCCCTGACCTCAGCACAGAACAGCGTCTGTACATGTAGGCACTCAGATCCCGGGCCTGCATGTTCTGACCTTGCCCCTTTTTATGTCTGTTGGTTCTTGAAAGTCTGCAGCACTCAGTGATATTAACGAAGAAGTTAGCAGACTGAACGCCACACTTATGGTCACAATGCTTCCTCATTGTCACATTGGAGACCCTAAATTGATGCCTGACATCTACTATATAATAAATAGACGCTGAAAGGAAAAGGCATGCTTAAAAGTAACAGGACTGAGGCATGAGGTGAGCAGGGGGAGAGAACCTTCTGTCACCCTCTGCCAGCTCTCATGTCTCCTACTGCCTAGGCGTCCTCTCTTAGGCATCAAACCAAACCCAAGCCTCAAGGGTAAGGGATTCTGTACCTGGTTTCACAGAAGTCACCCCTTCTCCGACGCTCTCCACAATACCGGCTCCCTCGTGGCCTAAAACTGCAGGAAGAGGTGTGACAAAGTTTCCACTAATCACATGATCGTCTGATCGGCAGACCCCGGTGGCCACCATCTATAAATTAGACATGCAGTTCACTTAGCGAAGTTCGCCACTGTGGGGTTTAACACACTGTTCTGAACCTGTGCTTTCAAAGAGTTGGCTAACATTCCCCATTGATTCCAAATTCAAATATTCCACTTAGGTCCAAGGTTTTCTCGTGTTTATACCTATCTTTTCCCAATAAACAGCTTAAGCATCAATGATCATCTTGTGAGTAATTGACCCTGAGATATGTATTTTATACAGTATACAAAAGTGCATGCTGGCTATGGAAATAGAAATAAGAAAAAAGCACGTAGAAATTACCTAATATTAATGGCTTTTTGGATATTAATTGCTTTTTGGAATCAAGATGCTTAGCACTTTAGAAATACAAAATATTTACATTGTTTTCAGGGATTATTTTAAACATATTTTAGTCACTTCAAACTTTTAGCAGTTGTTATCAATAGCTTGCATTAGTAACAGATTCATTCATTGTGAGGACAAGCTTCTTAAAGGGGCTGTTAATGGAGTTTTGGATGGGCCTCATGTTTTCTGAGTTTTTCAAACCTAGATGGTCAAAGGGGGAGTTACCTTAATGCGAACTTCATGGGCCTTGGGGGGTGCAACTTCTATCTCCTCTATAGAAAATGGCTTGTGAGTTTCCCATAGCACAGCTGCTTTGCACTTGATTGCCTGGTAGATAAAGCATTACTTCATCTTTGCTGCAGAATTTTCTTTGTCCCACCATCCTCCTCAGCCCAAAATAAACACACAGAGAAGCTGTATTAACTACTAGGCTGTTGACTGATGGCTTGGCTTTTTATTGACTAGCTCTCTCTTAATTATTAACCCGCAACTACCAATCTATGTATGTCTACATGGTCTTGCCTTACTCCGTGGAGAATGCTACTCCTTTTTGGTCTACATGGCAACTCCCTTTGGTGGGCTCCCTCTGCCTTTCTTTCCCAAAATTCTCATCTCGGAGACCCACCTACCTTTGTGCATCTATTCACCAACCACTGTTTTATTCATCAACCAGTAAAGAAAACATATATTCTGAAGGACATCCACCATCACATCTCTGAGGAGATCACTGCTCCATGAGATCTGTCCTGGGATCTGCCACTCACTGTTTCATAGAAACAGACTCTTCTCATTTACAAATGTCTAAAGGACCCTTAAAAATGGGTGACCCTTAGCCCAAGATGAGGAAAATTTAACTAAATGTAATGCACCTAGATGAGTTGGAGTATGCTCTTTCAGGCCATGCTTGTACTATTTTTTTTTCTTGATAGTCACTGGTCCTGTTCTAAAAGAGGTTGTTTGACCAAAATTATTGGATATATGTTTAATTTTAAATAATAATTATTAATTTATTTTTGAAGTGCCGAGGACACAACCCAGAATTTTGTGCATTCAGGCAAGTACTCATTCACAGATTTACCCTGTAGCCTTTGACTTTGTGAGACAATAGTCTAATAATCAACCCAGCCCAACCTTGAACTTGGAACAGAAAGGTTTATGATTTCAGAGATGTTCTAATATACCTGGCTATAATATTATTTTGCTGTTCTAGGCAATATAAAAACAAACCACTGATCACCACAGTGCTGTTATTGACCTTGTACCTGAGAGCCTGGGATTCCCTGACCCCCTCAATTCTTGTTTGGTTGATATAATTGGTTTCCACTTAACTTTTTCAGTCATTCTTTTGTCCTAACTACATTTCCTTGAGATATAATAAGCAATCTTATTCATAACCATGATATGAATCAGATAAAAATACTGACGCCTGGTCCCTTCTGTGACTCTCAACCCATCATTTCAATATGAATGGCGCCACACTGTGTATGCAGAAGCCTCAGCACATTCCTACACCCAGTTCTCACTGTGAGCTTTTGGAAGTTTACCCACTCCTAAAATGGCACCTGTGCCATATGGTTTTATATATAGCACATATGGTTTTTTATATATAGCACATATGGTTTTATAATTAAGGAATGAGACATCACAAATCAGTATTAATGATGAGTGCATGTGTGTCCTGATACTAAACACACATTGAACAAAGTACTGTAGCTTGTGGAAACTTAGTACCATATGTATGTATTCATAGTTTTGACAGTTTTTCTTAGGGCTAGGGACTGTTGTATAGAATTTCTAGAAATTTTGTGAGCCTTCCAAATCCAAATTGCATAGTTATGTAATCTTATTGTAGGCGATCCTAATGCTTTGAAACCAATCCATTTTTTTGTCAGAAATTTATCTAAAGTTTACATGGACTGTTTCACTAAGTTCCCTGAGTCAACCCTAACCCTGTTATGATACTCTGGTCAGACTTACTTTTGCTGTTTTCATCTAAAAATATAGGATTATAAAGACTAGCACACTATTAGTATCTTGATACAAACAGAAACTTTCCATAATAGATCTTTTTAAAACTTCCTAACAAAATAGTCACAGTTGGCTGAGAATAAATTCCCCCTACGGCAAAGTTAAAGAGGAAGTGAAGATGTCCCCAGACCTGGATTCTATGCACTCTTGTGAAATATATTTTGTAGCAGTCTATTTGCACTGTAGCCCAGTGCATATGCTGTACTGTAAAATAGTTTCACATTGTATTTCAGTGCATGCTATTTCTAAGTTTTGCATATTAAGGAGAATATATTTCTAACAGTAAGATGTTTTTCTTACTTTTCCAGCTGTGCTCATGCTGTCTGTCCTTGCTGCTGTCTGTAGATTGATGGGTCCCTGTAGGCTTCCTCCCTCTTCCAGTGTGCCAGGCCAAGTTTGTACACAAATTTTGTTAGCTGTGATGTCAGCTGATTGCACATTAATCTGACTCTGTATGACACTCCCATCTGTTTATTCTTGTTGCAAGTTAAGTAGAAACAAAGTTCGCTGGTCTATCAAGGAAACTTTGCTCTGGGGATGTGCTTTTGAGAATATTTTGTTTTCATTAGGTTAAACAATTTCTTTCTCTTCAATCTCCACCTTTCTCCATCCACTTTTTCCTTTTCTCAGTCAGGTTAGAGCTCTGTTTTCCTTTGCCTCAATGAAGCTGTAACGTAATGTCCACATGGTGCTTAGTAAGAAGAGAGCATGGTGTAGGACAGAATGAACACATGGTTAGAGCTTCAGAGAGGAAGATTTTGGCTCCATTCCTCTTCAAAGAAAGCACCCCAGGCACAGCCAAGATGCTGAGGCCCCTGGTATCTCTGCAGCACACAATCATGGTTACCACTGAACAAGAGCCTGTGGCAGGCATGGAGGTTGCATTCATGAGTACGAGATGGACCACTGTCCTGCCAAGAGACAGCTGCAACATGCCCTATTCCTTCTAGCATGAAAAAAAAACTCACAGTATACTGGAGGAGAAAGATACATAGGAGTATGTGTGTTACGAGTAAGGTATTTCCTGCCGGCCTGGGTCCATTGCTGTGCTAGCCCCAATTAACACACTGAGACCATTTATTTGATATAAAGCTGTAGGCCAGGTAGTAGTTTCTTATTGGCTAGCTCTGTCTTAATTATTAACCCATTTCTATTAATCTAAGTATTTCCATGTTGTCTAATCTTACTGGAGAGTGGGTCAGTGGTTCTGCTCTCCCCAGTCTCTCCATGTTGACTCCTCCCTGCTACTTCTTCGAATCCTCCTTGCCTCCTACTCCCGCCTATCTTGCTTTCCTATTGGCCAACAGTGCTTCATTCATTAACCAGTATGAGAAACATATTTATAGAATGACATCTCCCATCATATGTGCTTATCAGCTATGTAGTAATTGGTAGGATAGAAAGCCTGGTTATGAATGAGGACTCAGAGCAAGCTTGTAGAGGGCATGAACTCGAGTCATCTAAAGAATGATTGCTTTGGCAAATAAGCCAAAAGTCACTTAAGACATGTCCATTGTGCTTTGTTTAATGTCATGGGCTTGGAAACTAGAACATGCATTTGATGTCTATTGAATATCAAGTATCCTATCAATGTTAGCAGGACATAGTACATACCACTTGTTATATGAACATAGGTAGGTAACACATATCCATAAGCATATGACCACTTTTCTAGGGTTGTCAGAGAAACAATAATGGTTTCTGTGTGCAATTTTAATTATTCAGGTGTGGAAATTCAACTAGAGTTCACATGATCTAACCTTTTCCAGAGAATGGCTATCACCCTCCCAACCCATATTTGTTTACAATGGTCTGTTGTCTGAGCATGCTCCAATGAGTCATCTGGGTTACCTGAGTAGGGGCATGAGGATTGATAAAAGTCAGATAAAAGAAACAGATAGAAACACAGGATCGATTCGGTAGTACTGCAGGGTCCATGCATTTCAGCATACCAGATAGTCCCGACTTTAATGTAGACCTTGCTTATATACAAACTAGAGGCAGAGCAGAACAAAGAGCAACGTTATCAACTGACTACCTCCCTGCACTGTGCTTGAATCAAGGAGCAATCTATCATGTGGTTGCTTCTAGCAGCAAGCAGCTTTATTCCCTAACCCTATGTGCCTACATCTGGCATCAGTAGCTCATTAGAGAGATAATATACTCTATCTCATGGGCTTAGTCAGAACTTTTCCATGGCTCTCAATGAGACTGGAGCAAGCAAGCTTGAATTCTAATGTCTTGTAAGTCAGAATAGGCTCCAGATGGAATCTGAGTCATTTGTGGGATATCACGGTCTGTATAGTAGCCATGCCTCCCACTAGGTTGAAGGCCCAACAACTATGAGAATCCCATTAAATTACTGTAATGGAAACACATGGTTTAGCTATGAAGCACAGTTTGTAGGAAGCTATGAGTATCTATTGTGCTCCCAAACCTCTACTGGGAGTTCTTCCTACATTATTACCTGACCTTAAGAACAACATTACAAAGAAGGTTTTCTCAACCAATTTTACAGATGAGGTAAAAAGAAGTATTGGGATTCACTAATGCCTTTTCTAAGGCTTAAAGAACAGAACTGTGGGCAGGCTGGTGTTGAGGAGAGTTTTATGTTGTGGACACAGTAGGCAGATAGATCACTAGAACATTGAAGGATGTTGGACCCTGAGTTTTGACCAACTGGTCTTAAGGACAATTCATCTTCCCTCCCTGCCTTCCTCCCTTTCTCCTTGCCTCCCTCCCTGTCTCCCTCATCCTTGCCTCCTTCCTCTCCTCACCTCTGAATGAGCTTTGGTGGTAATTCTTTTTATTAGAGTCTGTCATTCAAGTGGATCAGGTGTCCAGTTTGGGTTTGATGTCTAGTTCTGTCACCTTCAGGTAAGACAATATCATTTGGTTTTTGATAGCAAATATTTCCAAAAACATACTTACAAGTAACATTATATGGACTCAGAAGTTACATTTAGTAACTTAACTATGTGTGTGTGTTCTGTGGAGTATTTATTCAATCATACAATTATATGTTTCATTTGTTTAATTGTGTAAATTGTGATGTACTTGTGTAGGATGCAGAATTCTTGTTCATCTATGTAAAGATGTTTAAGGGAGTTTATTGGTCTAATAAAAATATAATTGCACCAGAGTGTAATATATGTAAAAAAAGTGAATCCACAGTAACAAACAGAGGAAATAAAGAAATCAATAAAAGCATAGATGGTTCCCATGGAAGATCATTCTTTTTTTTTTCAGCCCTCAATTTTTTTTATTTTATTTAATTTTATATAACAAAGTCCAATTAAATGAAAACAAACATTTATACACAATATTTGGGAATTTGGGCGTCGTTCTTTCCAAACTACTTGCTGCTGGTAAGGGGCACTGTCTTGGGGGGATTCGAAGAAGATTCAGATATCCTGGCTGTAGTCTGTAGGGCTGTTTTGTCCAGCTGTTTTGAATGTAGGATTAGCTTGTACTCTGCTTCAGGCAGTCTGGCGTGATCAAACCACATTAGTCTGGAAGGAATCCACATCTTTTCATTTTCTGTGGAAACAAAAATAGAAATCCTTTTCCTCAGTAACTTGTCCTTCAACTTAAATTTTGGAGTCAAACATTTTTTTTAATTTAGTTTATTATTTTACATGTCCATCCCAGTTCCCTCTCCCTCCTTCCCTCCCTCACTCCCCCCAGCCCTCCTTCTCTCCTTCCCTCCCTTTTACCCTCTCTGCCCTCTCACATGCACTCTAAATACCCTACCCTCCCATCCCCCCACCCCAATTCCATATGTAGGGGAATGCCATCCAGTTGGGGTCATGTAGATCTGACAGGTCCTGTGAAGTAGGGACTAGGGCTTCTCTCCTGTCTCTAGATTAAGGCAGTTATCCCTCCATGGGGGATATGTTCCTAAGTCCTTTTGTGCACCAGGGATACAGCCTGGCTCCACTGTCTGAGGTCTCTTAGACTGCTCAGTCCTTCTGGCTGAGACCCATATTCAGGGGGCCTGAGTCAGTCCCATGCTGGCTTCCCAGCTGTCAGTCTAGTGGCCATTAGCTCCTCCTTGTTCAGGTAAGCTGTCTGGATGTGTTTCTGCCGCCTGGTCTTGTGCTCTCCATGTGCTTCTGGGTTCTAGTTCAACTCAGTGTTTATGTATGGGTGTTTGCTCCTATTTTCAACAGGCATTAGTTGAGGGCTCCATGGATAAGTTAGTTGTTGATCTCACTCTCCGGGAACGGCATTTATGATAGCCTTTCCACGGAAGCTGAGATTTTTAGTTGGGAGCAGTCTTGTAGTTCTCTCGACCTTTCTTTGTGTTCAGTTTTAACTTCAAACCAATATTGGCTTCCTCTTTTATGTTCTCTCTCTCTCTGCCTCTGTCTCTCTCTCCCTCTTTCCTATCTTCTATTCCTAACCAGGCTCAATCTTCCTGGTCCCACATGTTTTCCTATCCTTCCCCTCATTTTCTCCTACTTCTCTCTCCATTCACTGTCCCCCCCCCACTTCACCTGGGCTCTGGAGGACTTGTCCCTTCCCACTTCTGTGAGGGACTTTATATGAATCTCTTAGAATACACCTTGTATCCTAGTTCCTCTGGTGATGTGAATTATAGGCTGGTGATCCTTTGCTCTAGGTCTAAAATCCATATATGAGTGAGTCCATACTGTGTTTCTCTTTTTTGTGACTGGGTTACCTCATTCAGGATGGTTTCTTCAAGAGCCATCCACTTGCCTGCGAATTTCAAGATACTATTATTTTTTTTTCTGCAGAGTAGTATTCCATTGTGTAGATGTGCCACATCTTCATTATCCATTCTTCAATTGAGGGGCATCTAGGTTGCTTCCAGGTTCTTGCTATTACAAATAGTGCTGCTATGAACATAGTTGAACAGATGTCTTTGTTGCATGGATGTGAATCTTTTGGGTATATGCCTAAGAGAGGGATTGCCAGGTCCTGTGGTAAACTAATTCCCATTTTCCTGAGGAACCGCCATACTGATCTCCAAAATGGCTGTATGAGTTTGCACTCCCACCAGCAGTGGAGGAGTGTTCTACTTTCTCCACATCCTCTTCAACATAAGTCATCACTGGTGTTTCTATTTTTAGCCATTCTGGCAGGGGTAAGATGGGCATGGAAGATCATTCTAATGGAAAATCACTCACTAGTCAGTCCTGTTTATTAAACACTAAATAACAACATCCATCCTGGAACCAAAGTAAGGGAACCATACGTACATGCACCAGAGATGTTAAAACACCAGTATCATTTACAAACAACTTTATACTGATGAATTTGGCGGATTAAATGAAGAAAGAAAATCTTGATTCTAAAGGTTGGTATATGGTCCAGGTGAACCAACACAAAACAAAATCTGAT